AAAGAAGAAAAGTTTGTGGCATTTCGGCACCAAAATATGAAAATGGCAACTCAAAAAAGAACGCACTTTGTGGATCAGAGTTTGGCAAGTGAAAGACGTGAACTAAGTGCTTTTCGTCAAACTACAGAGCGCAAAAGAAATGTGGATTGTGTAGAATTAACTTATTTATGTCATGCATCGGAATAACAGCAAACGGTCACAATTTCACCAGAAAGATTGGTTTTGTGGTGAGAACATAGATTAGAGCTCGCATGTAAGCGTATGTATGCATGTATGTATGTATGTATGTATGTATGTATGTATGTATGTATGTATGTATGTATGTATGTCTTTTTCGAAGACACCATGGGAAAAAAGTTTGACTTACCCGGAAAGCCTGTGATAGTAAGATGGAACATTCAAAGATTTTGGCTAATTCACAAATTCACACAACTACAATCTCCCTACAATAACATCATCTTGCCGTGCATTAAGTTGCGAAATACGTCATCCAACTTTTAGATTTCTACCGGACTAACTTCCTGTTAAAATACGCTGCATCTTGACGTGATGCTTGCCGATTCAAGGGACAAGTCAACACATTCGATCCAGGAACTGAAATAAAAATATCAATAACAATATAGGAATAAATCAATGATTCTAATTCCCTTTTTTGTTTATGTGCATCCAACTTTCAAGAAAGAGGCCACGGTCATACAAAGACTAACTGCGGAAATACAAAAGGAGGAAGGTGGGTGACGGTTGAACAAGTTCTTTTCGCTGTTCCTAAATATTCTCGAATGACTGTGAAAACATTGTCAGTAACCGTTTCAACCAGGAGTGGGTACAGCATCGGCTGCACAAATTTTCCGGGCAATCAATGAGAAATCCTTGAGAGGCGGAGAGTTGGATTGCGCCGCAGCATTTTCCGCTCAACCATCATCAGGTGACTGCACCCGGACGTGGAATGATAGCTTGTGTGCCTAAATCACTGACGGACTAATACAGGATTGTTTGTCACAGCCTCAGATAGAACCACCTCCCAAAGTCAATCAATGGAGACCCAAAACAGCCTAATCTTACATAGCTAACTGATGGGACAGCAGTTCATTTTATTTTTTCCGTCCACTGTCGACTCCCCGGCAAATAACACACAGATGAGCAGTTCATTATTCACCACCAACCGCCAGATGGATGTAGGAGTGGGATGCGGGAAATCGTGTTTCATTGGACAGGTATCACTCGTTCAAACTACCCAGCCACAGGCAATAACCTGTTGTACACGCTATGTTCCGTCTGTCTCGCATGAGGATCAGAGTTACTCCTGAACGGCGGGACCAACGCACCAGTGAAAACACAATACCGAATATCCAATGTCTTATATGGTAGTTTAAAGCAGCTCTTACATGGATGTTTCGTTTATGACGGACGCCAAGTTGAATCAACAATGCGTTGCACTGTGGATCAGCTTTTGTCTGGGTTCCCAGAAGAAAAAAACTTTGTCAGCACAGGCTAACGCTAAGTATGTCACGTCCTGAAGTAACATTTATTTGGAAAACCTCTTTCTCACTTTTCCACTTCTTCTCCCCACTATCAATACGAACGAGATCTTTCTTTTTCCGCCACTCGGGGCAAGTTAGAACGCATTAGAGTAATTGAAACAAGATCTCCTCTTCGAAGAGCCGCATTCGACGTCTGAACACCCTATCGGATCAGCCCACAAGCTGCTGGCAGCGATCAATGCGGTACGCTTCACTGTATCTCGTTGATGATAACTCTGAAACTTGCAGTCTGGTAGTATGTCGTATCCTCAAAACACCATCGAAACCCTTCTTCGATTGTCGCATTGTGCTTTACGAATCCAGCCACTCCCGCGCATTTTACTCGTATCTAGTGATTCAGTGATTAATTTTTTTTATTACTTTTTATTACACACATTTGTGTGAAGAACGGCCGACACGGTAGATCTTATAGTCACGAAGATCTGCTGTTCAGTGATGGAAACTGTCAACCTAAGCCCGAGTGATGAACCACAAAACGCCTCCCTAGATTAGGTGTTGCATGGAACTGGACGATAGGAAAAAGCTGTCTACCACCAAAGTTGCTTGGCAGCGGAGGGGTTCGAACCTCGGTTCACAGGTTACAAAGCACGCCGATGACATCGACCAAATCACTGCATCACCACTATCGCCCTCATTTTCTTAAACTGTTGGTCACTGGTTATGTAGAAGATTTGATTCTCAACTAAAGGATTAGCGATTTGAGTGCGCACTGATGGTCTACGCAAACTAGTATGGAACTAGTGTCCAGAGCACTCATCTTTGACCACTACATGTAAATATCTATGGGAAACCAGATCGNTAAAAAACAACGCGTGAGGAAACTGCGGTCAATATCTTTAAGCCTCGATATTTTAATGAAACCAAAGCCCCAGATCCTAGATCTTACAAACCGGAAATATCCCAATGAAGTGATGAAAAGATGTAACCATCAGTTTGTTTAATCAATGTATCATATCCGGGCAATTACCGTGGACCATTGAGAAGAGGTGTCTGCGTACGGATAGAAATAAATAAAGTGGTGATGAGGTAACAGCTCAGCCGAGGGGATCAAAGCAGCGATAGTGGTGTTTTGAGTGAATAATCTTCTTGTGCAGGAGCAGTCTTTGGGCCTTACAGTATAGAAAAACAATTATAGCGCATGCTCACTATAAACTTGACGATGGTTATGTTAACATCATTCTTCGCGACAGTAATGAAAGCGATCGTAAGACAAAAAACCCAGGCAACTCAATGACCAAAAAGATTGAACAATGAATGTGTGCCAGAGTGCTCCAAAGATCAAATTTACCATAGCATTTGAAAATTCCCTTCAATGTAACAGCTCCCGTGATCGGAGGAGCCGCATCAAGAGCTTCGTGAACCGTATTTGTTTAGATACGGCGATTCGGCAAAATAAGGGAACCAAAAGGGGTCAATCGAATTTTGTTCAATCATCATCGTATGGCGAAATACAGTGAAGCGAACTTCACCGATCGCTACCAAACTAGCGAAGAATTTG